ACAAACATATGATATCAAAATCTGTAGAATAAAGACAGTTAGATCAGAGCTATCCGAGCCCATGAGTGCATGTTATACATCATAATAATTCATTAAATTCAAAAATCCATCTGCCCATGAAAATATATAAAATATAATTTATATTTGATTAAATTAAAAAAAATCCACTAAATACTTCCCATATCGTAAAAGATTGAAGCAAAACAACAGCCGCAGATGTTAAAGATCCGCCAACACACTAGGTACACAAAGATAACATTGGCTTCAGGTTTCCCTCTCCCTTTCTCTTCGGTGAATACTTATCAAATACACACATTATTGTTGGATTTACTGAAGTAGTTTACATTCAAATATGTATGTAAATATATATATACTATATATATATATTTATTATATGACTTGGACCGTACGCGCGCTCTGATTGGCTGATTACCGGTCTGATATTTTCCCATCTCGGACCGTTACCATGACAATTGGTCCAAACAGCGCGTATCACATTTGATATCTTTCCTCGGACCGTTACCATGACAATCTGTCCGCAGCGCGTATCACACAAAACCAAGTTGGACATGAACATACTTCACAAACATCTCAAAAGCTTTGGTAAAGACACAGACGAGAGTCATATAATAACAAAATTATTAACCTTGCTTGCTCGGTCTGTAGAGAGAAATATCAGACCTTGGCCTTTTTGCACAGACCTCGCCACGGCTCGGTCTGTATATTAAGGCTGATATTTCTCCATACAGACCTCGCCCTCGGTTAATAAGCCGTTATATATATATATATATATATATATATATATATATATATTTATTTTTTTAGGCAGCATGGTTTATTAAAAAACATGAAAAAATGTGTGGCTTATAGTCCAGCAAGTCCTGTATTCACAATCGATTAGTTGCAAATAGTGAATTAACTTAAAATTGCCAAATGTGTACCCTGCACCAGGACAGTCGTGGAATGCACCTTTAATTCCCTTACAGTTTTAATTAGAATCAATTACTCCATTAAAATGAGATGTGTTGAGTTGCATAGAAATCTTTTAATAAGACAGCGTTTGCCGATGGGGGCTGGGGGTGACCTCACATGAAGAGGGATGAATACATTACAATTTATTAGCCTTTGTTTCATTCACTCACCACACCCAGACGTACACAAACCCCGCCCTGCGACAGCCTATCCACTGTTTATCGCCTTGGACCGCTGGGTGGACCAAAATATTTGTTGTGTTACCTGCAGAAGCCTTTCTTCCCTGTCTCTCACACACCTCTCCAGACGAGGAGTGAAGCTCGGAGCATGCCGGGGAATATTTTCTCTCAATTTGTGAGTGAGTGCTTTGGCTGCGTGATGCTGGCGGAGGCCCCTCTTTGTCATGGAAACACCAATTTTTTAACTCAAGTCCTTAAGGCAACGAATCCGAGCCACTCAGACAAACTAACCAGCCCAGTTTAGAACAACATGCATGTAATAGCCATGTTTCTTCAAGGCTTCAGCACGTGTACTGACACAGATTAGATAAGATCAAACTTTATTGATCTAACAATGGAGAAATTCATTACATTTGGCTTCAATTAGATCACTCTGAGGTCATAAATAAGTTTTTATACTGTATGTACTAGACGTTTCATACAAATACACACATATACTCAATTGGAGAGTAAATGCCTCTTGGAGAAAAGATGTCTGAATCTCAATGGGATTTTCCTCTTGAATAAAGTCTAAATACCAATGAGCATGTGTGCAAATAGACAGGAAATGTGCAAACAACATGAAATGATGTTAAAAAAGTACAAAATAAAAAAATTATACGGAAAAAGCCTTGTGCGCTGTAAAGGAATCATATACAGTATACAGATGATTGCAGGCTTAACAGAAAATGTGAAAGAACATAAAGCATACCCACCCAGGTCCAAAGAAATCCAAAGAAAATCACTCGACAAATATACCTTTTATTATATTTTTTTTACTGTTTTATAAAACTAGTAATCAGAGTTGTGCCAGTTCACAGATTTTCTGAACTAGTTCAAGTTCAGTTCATACATGCTCAAAGTGAACAGTTCACGTTCAAAGTTCACATTTTTAATTCTGAACTAGTTCAAAGTTCAGTTAATTTTACTTTTTTTGTGAGATACTTAAATATTTTTTTCACACTACGAGCTATATAGATCTCCTGTACACCCACAGGAGGAGAGTCTTTTGACCACAAAACAGACCAGATTTACATGGTTTTCAATGGGAGCCAAACGGAGTTGCTCCATCTCTGCTCATAAACTACAGACAGTAATGCGCTGCAGTGCGTGTGTCTATACTTTATGTCAAATGTAAACTGTGTAAACTTTGTCGCTAACTCACCCTGTGTTTTCATCACGACTCGGGCACATGTGAAAAGCACCAGCTCACAGCGCCGCACCGCAACACAGAGTCTGGGTGCGTTCACAGACGGTGGAAACCGTAGGAATTTTTAGATTTTGGCGGAAAAAATGCGAGAATACAGGAGGGAGGAACTTTCTCTCGTTGCGTTTCAAAAGAGAAAACAGATCAGAGTGATGTCTGCCGTTCATGACACATAAAATGAACTAATTCACGTTCAAGTTCTTTTCTTTTAAATGTGTTGCGTTCAGTTCAACGTTCACAAAAAAATTAGCGTGTTCAATGAACGCGTTCTTTTGAACTCGTTCACGCACAACACTACTAGTAATGACACAATATACACTCATGTAAAAAGCTAATATGCTTTTTTTTTTTTTAAATGATCCGTTAAATCTTAATCAACAAATCACACCTCAGCACCCTATCTTCACCCTGTTACCTGTCACCTTTTATTTTGTGCATATTTGTGATAAAGAGCCCTGTGAGTCACTTTTTGATGCTTCGGGCTGATTGGCGGAGTGAGGGTGGTCATCTCCTGAAGCTGATCTAAAAATGTGACTGAAGCCAAATTAAAACCTGCAAATGAAAACTAGTGATAGAACCAAACTGTTGATGCTTTTTACTTGTTGTCTCATTGATTTATCCGCGCTTTGGAAAGTTAGATACCCCAGCTTTAATGTCTCAAATAAATAAAGAAGGATTATGGTGTGGAAGTGCCTGACTGAGAGACACAACAAGATTTCCTGAAAGAATGAGCGATGGAGAGAAGTGGTTGTGGTCCCCCAGAAAACTCACACATGAGACGTTTTTGATAAAGTGTGTGGGCTCAGGCTGGATATTATTTAACGCGACATCACACTGGGAGGCGCTGCGGAATGTTAGCGTAAATCTACAACAAGGCCACTGGAACGACCACTTTTGTCAGTTCCATCTTTTGAATGACTTGGATGCATGCAGTTCTGAGGCTCAACTCAGTTTTAGATGGATCAGTGATAGACTAACAAGATAGAGGCCACACCTTTGTAAGCCGTTCGGAGCCTCCCCCCCCCCAACACCCACCCGGCAGTATCCCATAGCGACCACTGGTAACCTTGGTGATGTTGGTGGAGATACGCTACTGCTGAGTAGAGGGGCGGTGCCGGGGCGTGATATGAAAGCACAGCACATGGGTCTGTGTGTGTTTGTGTGTGTGTGTGTGCGTGTATGTACGTGTGTGTGCATGAATGAAGCCTGCACAGACATGTTTGAGTCATGGTGTCTTGGTCAACCAAAAATGTCATTTGTCAATTTAGGATTTTAAAGGATTTATTTTCACAGCTGAGACAATGTGTCAATGTAAAAAAAGGGAAACAAAATCTATATATAGACATAAAACACATGCATTGATTTGTTTGACCAAAAAAAACAATTATTATACATTTATTTTGTATAGCCCTAATGTCTTGGAGGACATTACAAAGTTATCAATTCACCAACGACATACCAGAGAATCAAACAGTTCGATCACAGAAAGGCATTAATAACAAACACAGAGGAGCAGGACGACCATGACCAATATACATGCATCATGATAAATGTGCATTAATGTGCATTAATGTGCATAAATGTCCTGGATCATCACAATCCTCAGACCCTCCTGCATCGGCAAGAAACAATTCCAAAACCCTGTGTGAAAAAAGTGAGAAAACCTTAAGGAGGCCCACATTGAGAGAGGGATCCACTCCCACAGATGGACAGGCTGTAGATGCAGGACTAAGGCTGTGTGGTGCAGGACTGTGGCGGCTTCCAACGCGGGGGGGTTACCCCACAAGTCTGGGCCGGGGAAAACAGTCCACAGGTTTTTACTCCTTGTGGTTTTAAAAATCAAGTTTAGTTATATGAGGTATGCTGTAATAGTGTGTTCTACTAAAGAAAATACACAACTGGCCAAGAAAGTAAATGAAAAATGGAACAAATAATGTGGCAATACAGAGTGGGGGAAGGACAAAATAGATAAAAAAGATTTCCTTCTTCTCCCTTTGGAACATAACACATGAAATAGATACTATGTTGTATATATTTACATTTGTTTGAAATAAATAATGAATCAAATTTGACTAACCGCAGATAATTTCTTTTACGTTCATTTCCTTTATAATGGGACTGGCACAGCAGGTTTTCACACCATGGATTAGAAAATGGATCATAAAGTAAAATGGACCTTGTCTGTCATATAATTCTCTTTCTCTCAATCCACCAGATACCTGCCCCTCTGCATACGCTCACTCCGGGGGCCTCAGGGGTAAACCTTCGCCTCCCTGAGTCCGATAGGTGCAGAGCCTGTACAGAGCAGGTCCCTCACAGTGTGATTTATGGCCACATAATTATGCTTCATCAACACTATTGTACATCCACCGTAACATTGGAGCCCTGAAACTCCACCCGAGCTACCACTAGGCCTGTATACGCTAATAGCTGTGGATAATAAGATAATCTATAGGCCACAGAAATTAGCAATTGGAGCAACGGGAATGCGAATGATGCGCTCCTTTGTACTAATGAATTAAATTGATTATTTGAGCCAATTTAAGTCTAATTCTCATGACATCACTGCTTTCTTTAATTCTGCTCAGCTCCCTTGTTTGTCTTCACTGCTGACAGAGCAGGACGTGGAAAGTCTGCAACACTTCACTGCAAGGACAGAATTCACAACCAAAAGAGCCACCTGAATGCGTTAAAGAAATACCAGATTCATTAAAACATGTTCAAATATGATTGGATAATCTGGTTGAAAATCGTAAGCATATTTTTTATGTAAACATTATTAATTGTGCAATACAATAAAAAGAACAAACATATATGCATATTTATACAATTCGAAAAGGAGTGGGTAGAAGTCAAACCAAATGTTTCTTACCCCGTATTACATGTTCTTTCTTTTTACAGTATTTCAAATGATTTAGTTAGATTTACAGTCAGATCTTTCAATTAGATATTTCTCTTAGATATAATTGCCACTCGTTACCATGAATTGTAATTTTAAAGGCAGATTAAACACCAATCATGTTCCAGGGTCTAGTTGTCAATACTATTTCTACTCAAACATTATATTTTAAGGTTATGCATTTAGGCCCTACATAGTGCAGTGCATTAAAACAGTGGGTAGAACGATCCAGTTGAGAGTGGGCAGTAGCCCCCACCCAAGCAGCCACGCCTCCAAATTCCCTAAACCAATGTCCATTTTATTTCTAATTATGATAATATTCAATCATTTACTGTCATTTTCACAAAAACAACAACTTGGAAAAGGTCAAATATGATTTTTTTTTTACATGTGACCTGTAGTCTGGGGACTCATAACACGTAGATGTCATTTATTACGATGAAAAATTAAATTCAATTTGGAGAGACGAGAAACAAGAAGCTTTTGAGTGTTTTATTGGGAGGAGGTTTGGCGCCCTAGGCCCCGGTGCGGCCTTCAGATCGGAGGGGCTCTGCGATGGAGCGTGCCAATCCCCCGGGACCTAGGCACTGGTGGCGGCATTTTGGCAGCGGGAAGCAGATTGAAGGCAGAATGAAGGCAGGGTGAAGAGGAGGAGGAGGGGAGGCGGTGGCTGCAGGCTTCAAGAAGGCCGAGAATGGGATTTCCTCCGCTTTTAAGCAGCTTGCCTGGCTGGACCGGTGATTGGAAGGGGGCGTTTGCCGTGCGATAGGCTGGGGATGAGAACCGGCCTGGAGGGGTTACCTTTGGCTGACGTCTACCAAATTGAACTTCCGCTGGCTGCATTTCAATTTGGAGAGACGAGAAACAAGAAGCTTTTGAGTGTTTTATTGGGAGGAGGTTTGGCGCCCTAGGCCCCGGTGCGGCCTTCAGATCGGAGGGGCTCTGCGATGGAGCGTGCCAATCCCCAAAAAGGTTGTGAGTTGATGGAGTTTTGCAGCCTGGTTTGAAGGGAACAGACGTTGAGACTACTCTATGCTGTGACCGCTATCGCTATATACTGTGACCGCTATCGCTATATACTGTGACCGCTATCGCTATATACTGTGACCGCTATCGCTATATACTGTGACCGCTATCGCTATATACTGTGACCGCTATCGCTATATACTGTGACCGCTATCGCTATATGCTGACGAGTCGCGACCATCGCGCGCTAACCATTTTTTGCTATATACTGTGACCGCTAACCATTTTTTGCTATATACTGTGACCGCTAACCATTTTTTGCTATATACTGTGACCGCTATCGCTATATACTGTGATCGCTATATACTGTGACCGCTAACCATTTTTTGCTATATACTGTGACCGCTATCACTATATGCTGTGACCGCTATCTATTGTGACCAAACTTGCGGATCCTCAGCTGCTGCCGCCACCAGGAAGTTTAGCGAGCATTTTAAGAAGATGCCAAAAGCCGCTGGGCTGCCAGGATGGAAGAAGTGTCAGGCCTGATGTATGAGGAGAGGGCCGATGATGACCAGCGGCCCAGCTGCTGGAGGGCGGAATAGGGGAGCCCAAGGGACGCGGCGCGCGTGGCGGCGCCTATCCGAAAGGAATGGGCTGTGTAGAGATGGGGAGACATGTTACAAAGCAGCAGTACGGACCTGAGTTGGGCTCTGAACCAGTTGGAGGACATAGGGAGGTTATCGGGGGTAAGAAATAACGGTCCGTTGAGATCTCCTTTCCGAGAGCGGAGGCGAGTGTACTGCATCATGGATCTATAGGGACAGGGAGAAGAGTCAGACCGAGCTATAACTATATTACAAGCGCCCTTGCGTTTGGAATGTTTGAGGTGAAGGTTGAAGTAGTCGGGATAGTAAGCCAGGTCGGAGAAGGCAATGTCTCGGGCTGCATTGAAGGTGGTGTGGGGGTTAGTGAACTCGCTTATGCGTAAGAAGCCGTAAAAAGCGAGGAGGAAGACGCTGGACAGGAGGGCGATGGCATACTTTGAGAGCGGGCTGGAGCTGAGTGCGGAGCAGAGCTGGTGGAGAATGGACAGTGTGATGGGGCGCCTGAGGTCCGAGGAATGCGGGGTGCAATTGTGAATGCCTTTGATGACGAGTTTGATTGATGGATCAGAAAATAGAGAGGGGAAAGCGGGGTTGTGACAGCGGGCCTGGAATTGAATCCCGGCGAGTAGAGAGCGAATGTAGGTGATTTTATAGTGGAGGTTATCCGCGCAGTGAACCATGAAGGCGCATACGGTGACAGCGGAGGGAGGAATGAGTGGAATGCAGTGGGCGTGACAGAAGCTGGAGTAGACTTTCCAAGCGAAACTGTATGATTTCAGTGTGGAAGGTGAGAGGCCCATCTTCATGTAGGACGCAGCGGAGGAGATGAGGAGGTGAAGAGAAGGAGGGACTAGTCCAGGGCGAGGGATTCCATGCAGGGGATCTGGCATGGTGATGGGTTGGCAGAAGGGCAGAGGCGTCGGAACTCCTGGAATTTGAAACGAGAGAGAGAATCAGCGATACAGTTAAGGTGACCAGGGACATGACGAGCAGTGATAATAAAATTGTTCAGGACTGAGAGCCACGTGATGCGTCTAAGAAAGGTCATGATTTGGGGAGAGGATGAACGACCTCTGTTGATTATTTCGACTACGTCGAGGTTGTCGCACATCACGGAGATCCTTTTCCTCTGCCACGTATGGCTCCACAGCGCGCAGGCTACTGTCACGGGATAAATCTCGTGGAGCGCGGAGGAGATGTTTTGAGGGAAGGCGTCGGGCCAGGGCCCGGCGAACCACTGGTCCTGAAAGAATCCCCCAAAACCCACGGACGGGGCTGCGTCCGTGAAGAACCGCAGGGCGTCCGAGGATAGGACGATATCACTGTAGAAGAAGGAGACGCCATTCCAGCGGCTCAGCAGGCGGGACCAGAACGCCAGGTCGGAGCGGCACCCCGCGTCCAGACAGACCGCGTCGTTGAGGGAGGATACGGAGCCGGCGAGGGAGAGGAGTCTGGAGATGAAGGAGCGACCTTGAGGAATTATGCGGATGGCGTAATTAAGATGCCCGAGGAGGGAGAGCAACTGACGCTTCGAAAGTGACAGGGATGACAGGGCAGACCGGGAGATAGCGCGGATGCGCTCGAGTTTGTCCAGCGGGAGGGAGGCCTCCATGGCGCGCGTGTCGAGGCGGATGCCGAGAAACTCCAGAGCGGTGGCGGGGCCTGTGGTCTTCTCCTCGGAGAGGGGGACTCCCAGGGCGGAGAAAGCGAGCTTGAGTTTGCGGAGAGAGCTCCCGGAGCCGTCCGAGGGTGGGTCTACCACGAGAAAGTCATCGAGGAGATGCAGAACGGAGGGGAGCCGTACGTAATTCAGCAGAATCCAGCACAGCGCCTCCGCAAGATTGTTAAATAGAGAGGGACTACTCCGGCAGCCAAAAGTGAGGCGCACGGCAAAGAAAAATTCTGAACGCCACTTTACTCCGAACAGGTGCCAGTGGTCTGGATGGATGGGCAGCAGCTTGAACGCGTCTGTGATGTCGGCCTTGGAAAGCCAGGAGCCGGGGCCGAAAGTCTTAATGAGCCTGATCGCATGGTCCACGGTAGCGTACTGCAGGGAGAAAGGTGCTAGAGGGATGAGACTGTTGATGCTTGGGGTGGGCCCGGAGCGGGGACAGGAGAGGTCGAAAATGAGACGCTTCTTCCCAGAGTATTTACGGGTGGCGATGCCTAACGGGTTGGAACGGAACAGAGTGAAGGGGGGCCTGGAAAAAGGGCCGATGACATAGCCCATGGACACCTCCCGCGCCAGAAGCTGCGTAACGACCTGGGGCTCACGGGAAGCTGAGAGGAGGTTGCGGGACACGAGAGACGCCGAGGGGAGGGCCTCAACGCCCACGAGAAAGCCGTGGGCCAGACCAGACAGGAGGAAATGAACGAAGACCCGGTCAGGATGGAGTTTGAGCGCGCGGGCAAGCCCGTGCACGGAGACCGGGGTCGAGAGGTGGGCCCTGATCAGCGCCTGGAAGAAGGCCCCTCGAAGCGGCCTTGCGGGCCGCGCTTCGGACACAGAAAGCGTGGGTGGGCCTCCCTGCACACACTGCACGCATGGAGGTAAGAGCACGGGTTAAAGGAACACACGCTCATATTGAATCTGTTACATACGTGGGGGGCGCCAGCCCCGAGCGCACGGGAAGGCGGCCCTTGAGGCCTGGACGACTCGCCCCCACTGGGTCCGAAGGGGATGCCCGAGCAGAGGGGGGACGTGTGTCCTGAAGCGCCACACCGGGAGCAGGAAACCGCTGGGGTACCGCCGATGGACAGGAGCAGCACCTCGGTGTCCAGCGTTGCCCAGTCCACTCTGAAGTTCGCCTGGGTGATGAGGGCCGCGGCCTTGGCAGCGAAGGCCCTGTGATACCGATAAAAAATGCTGCCTCCGTACCGGAGGGACAGGTCCCCCATCAGGCTCAGATAAGAGTCCAGTTTGGGCCTCCGCTCGGGGTACGCGGAGCATATTACGTCGCGGTAGACCCCGAAGGCGACGAGGAATTCCCCAATGTTCAGCTCACGGGAAAGCCGGGGATCCGCAGTCTTCACGACCGCGGTGATGAGATCCGAAGCGGCCACCTGCCGGTCGCACTCGGGAGAGGGGAGAATAAGGGAGACCAGGTTTATATAACGCCCCAAAAGAATTTTGGAACGGAGGCGCGGGGACACGTTAGAGAAGGCATGAATGTAGGGCCTACCAGACGCTGGAGCGGAGACAGCGGTGCCGAGGGAGAAGCCGGCCTCGTGGGAGTCCGCGGGAAACGCCGCCGCGAAAGAGGGCACCGGGGCAGCGGCAGAAAGAACCGCCGGGACAGCGGCGGGAGCTTGGCGCTCAACGGCATGAAGCCGCGTAGACACCGAAGCCATGTTGCGCTGTAGAGAGGAGACGGCGGACAGGATGGCTTCCGTGCGCGCGCAGAGCAGGGCTCGGTCCTGGGCCGCAGCGGAGGCGTCCTCGGGACCTGCCAGGGGGCCAGCCACGGGAGGAATGGCCTGGGAAGACGCCGGGGCCGCCATAGGTGCGCCAGCGAAGCGAGGCCTACGAGCGCGTGGAGGGGCCCGGGAGGCCGCAGCAGGAGAGCCCGAGGATCCAGGGGAAGGCCCAGAATCCACGAGGGGAGGCCGCGGGAGGCAGGCGCGCTTCGCCTGAGTGTGCTTCGTCTTGGATCGACGTTTGGGGGTAGGGGGAACCGAATCCCGGAGGGGCGAGGTAGAGCCCGCCGACAGCTGGTCGAAGAGGCTCTGGAGCTGGAGCGACGTAGCGTCGGGGCCGGGCACGACCCCCCGCGCCGCGAGGAAGGCGCGCACCGACCCTGGGTCCCTGGAGGCCAGACGCACACTCTTACGAGGGCTGGGGGGCACAGGCGAGGCGTTGCGGAGGAGGATGGAAGGGGAGTCCGGCGCCGAGTCGTCAGGAGACACAGGCGCGCGGATATTCAATGAAGATAGCATGGTGTACAGGCGCGGTTAGCTGGCATACACTGCAGGCTTCAAGAAGGCCGAGAATGGGATTTCCTCCGCTTTTAAGCAGCTTGCCTGGCTGGACCGGTGATTGGAAGGGGGCGTTTGCCGTGCGATAGGCGGGGGATGAGAACCGGCCTGGAGGGGTTACCTTTGGCTGACGTCTACCAAATTGAACTTCCGCTGGCTGCATTATGACGTAAGTAAGGAAAGATAGTTATGCCCTCAGCACAGAGCAAGTGATGGGGGAGAGGTGTCCTGTATGTGTGTGTGTGTGTGTGTGTGTGTGTGTGTGTGTGTGTTGTTACATGAGTGTTGTAGCTAAATTACGTCTGCTTCGTCCGACCCCTTTTCAGACTGTGTATTGCTGTTTGTTTTTTTGTGCTCAAATTAATGTTACTACCAGAAAATAATCTACACAAAAACATCTTTTGTCTTCGGACGGTGCTTGTCAACGGTGCTGATGTTACATATGCAAAAATGTGCTTAATCCCGCGCACGCCTGCCCCGCACTGTGCATAATCCTGGCCGTGTCATGTGAGGCCAGGGCACGGGTGGATGGAGGAGAGAGCGGCTTCCCTGAGAGGGTTGAGGTTGGGGCCAGCGATGTTCAGTCGTCTGTTGGGCACGCACACTGTCTGTCTGCAGCTCCCCATGGCCTCAGATGCCTTCATCAAGACATTAGCAATATGCTGCAGCCAGCTCTTTTTGGAGAACTTTACTACTACTACAACACACAAGCATCGCCCTTAAGACAGGCCCAACAAGTAGACAGGCCTGTTTTGTTTCTTTTTTATCTCTAGTTTTGCTTTTATAGGTTTTTTTTCTATATTCAACTGAAAACTGAAGAGCCTAATCTTGTATTTTTCTCATAATAATACATTGTATTGGACTTAACAAGAAAAAGTCCTGTAAAATCAAAATGTTGCTGTCCTCTGCTGTTGTGAGGTCCTCTGCTTTTCACGTTTCTGTCTGAAAATGTGAAAGAGGCCCAAAAATACTTGCGTGTGAAAACTAGTGAAGCAGAAGTGTTTTGAGAGCGAGGAACGAGTTATGTGCACCAGCTTGAATGACTGTTAAATGTGTTTAATTCATTTGACAACTTGACAACTTCCGGATCACCCCCACAGTCAAATCATTCCCATATCCCCAGATTTACTGAAATTGTCCTAAAAATCTGCCCATAGGTTTTTATTGTTCATGCTATCTACCAAACAAACTAACCCAGATGAAAACATAACATTTGTGGCGGAAATACCTACAAGGTCACAAATGGTGGAAAATGTGGTTTACGTGTCATCAACTTAAATTAAATATATATTTTTGATAGAATGTCTATTTCTGGCTATTCGGTATGGAGCTATTATTGTTTCAATAATATTTGTGTGTGCGTAAAAAGATTTGTGCGTGCGTAACCAGATTTGTGTGTGCGTACCCAGATTTGTGTGTGCGTAACCAGATTTGTGCGTGCGTAACCAGATTTGTGTGTGTGTAAAAGAAATATTTGTGCGTGTGTAAATAGATTTGTATGTACGTATCAAAATTTGTGTGTGCGTAAAAAGATTTGTGTGTGCGTAAAAAGATTTGTGTGTGTGTAAAGAAAAAAAAAAGTACGTTTTACACACAAGTTTTTTTTTTACACACGAATCTTTTGACGCAGTCCTGCCTTCGCAGATTCGCAAGTGTAACTTGGACTGTGTGCGTGCGTAAACAGATTTGTGTGTGTGTAATTTGACATTTGTATCTGTAGCAGAACAATCTGTGTGTAAATAACCGCGTTGTACAAAGAGAAGAACGAAAAAAGCCTAATACGCACAGGCTCTGTTTTACACACGAATCTCTTTTTGACACACCTCTGCCGCCAAGCGTGTGTCAAAAAGATTTGTAAGTGTAATGTGGTTGTTCTAGCAGTACACCAGCAGATGGTGCTGTTGTAGCTGGTTATTACCTACACGCAAGCAAACCAACAAGTGTAGATAGAGAAAACCGAAGGATTTAAGAAGAAGAAAAGTTCAGGATGACAAGGAACACTAAAATTCCCACAAAATCCGACCTTTATGAAAGCTGTAGGTTATCTGTCAGCTGTTTTAGTTTACTTTGAGTTCTATGGGGAAAATTTCTGTGTAGCCAACGTGAATTTAGTCTGCAGTACGTGAGAATCCTTCAGCTCCAAGCTAGTAACACCTATCCAGTTATTATAATAGATCCATGTATCATACAGTGGTGTGAATGACAGGATTTTGAAAATAGGAAAAAAATATAAACAGCTGCGGTAGTGTGTCTTGTCAAGGCAGTAGGTTTTGGTTTGCTTGCGTGTAGGTAATAACCAGCTACAACAGCACCATCTGCTGGTGTACTGCTAGAACAACCACATTACACTTACAAATCTTTTTGACACACGCTTGGCGGCAGAGGTGTGTCAAAAAGAGAATCGTGTGTAAAACAGAGCCTGTGCGTTGCACTTAGGCTTTTTTCGTTCTTCTCTTTGTACAACGCGGTTATTTACACACAGATTGTTCTGCTACAGATACAAATGTCAAATTACACACACACAAATCTGTTTACGCACGCACACAGTCCAAGTTACACTTGCGAATCTGCGAAGGCAGGACTGCGTCAAAAGATTCGTGTGTAAAAAAAAAACTTGTGTGTAAAACGTACTTTTTTTTTTCTTTACACACACACAAATCTTTCTACGCACACACAAATCTTTTTACGCACACACAAATCTTGATACGTACATACAAATCTATTTACACACGCACAAATATTTCTTTTACACACACACAAATCTGGTTACGCACGCACAAATCTGGTTACGCACACACAAATCTGGTTACGCACGCACAAATCTGGTTCTACGTCATGGTGCTACGTCCCTTAGGACTTCGCTAGTGGGATATCACGTGACCCCCAGGTCACAGACGCCAGAGAGATCAAAATAATTTGCTCCAATCACCAGCCACCTTCCTCTATAAATGCCCCTGCACAAGGCCGCACCCCCTCTTTCACTCTGGCGCCGTTTGAGATCTACATTCGTTACCTGAGAAAGAAAGATGTCTTCTGATGCACGTCCGAGTTCCCCTTCGCCATCCGGCGTCGGACGTCGTCGTTGCTCGACCTGTCGGGGCAAGCTCCAACGCAAGGACCAGCACTCCAGCTGCTTCATGTGCCTGGGTGCGGGCCATGCGGCGTTGAGCGCCACCTGCGCCTCGTGTGTCGCTCTCCCCAGGGAGGAGAGTGAACGCAGGCGCGCGTTCTTCGCCGCTTCAGCGCCCCGTCCGGACTCCTCTAAGGACGAGGAGTCTGAGATTGACTGGGCCCCCCTCGACATTCCACCTGTGCCCGCGGAGTGGGGTGACTGCGAGGACGGAGAGGTGTCGGAGGTCGGCTCTCTCCTCACGCTGGACGAGGTGGTGTCCAACCCGGAGCCGGACCGCTTCCCGCTGGACCACATGCCTGGGCTCTACGCCACGGCGGCGGCCATCATGGATGCCCCCCTGCCACCGCAACCGAACCAGAGGGTGGAGGACTTCACCTCTGGGTACGCAGCCCCTCGAGGGAGGAGGAGAGTCCAGCCCACGTTGTGCCCGCGTATGGACCCGATCGTCCATTACGCGACACGTGAGTGGCCAAAACCCCTAGCGGCCAAGAGGCCCGCTTTGGGGTATGGCATGTTCTGCAACGTGCAGGACTGGTCCTGGACAGGCGGGGTCCCGGACATCGAGGACTCGGTTCGGGCGGCCCTGCACCCCTCCTCATCCGTGTGGCCCAGCACCAGACCTCTCCTTCCCTCCGAGCGGGATAGGATGTCTCTGGCTATGCATGACAGATGTTACGCCAATGCGGCTCAGGTCGTCGCGGTGGCGAACAACATGGCTTTCATCACCGGGGCCCTGGATAGGTCTCTCTCCTCTGACCAGGCACTCAGTGGAGACACCTTAGCCCAGGCGAGGACCACTTCAGCAGCGATCTTGCGCATGTGCCAAGCGCTAGCTGTCGATGGCGGCCGCCTCTATGGCAGCAGCCCAGGTCGGGGCCAGACACCTCTGGCTGGGGGCGGTGAACCTCAGAGAGGCGGAGAAGAGGCAGCTGCTGGACCTGCCCATCTCCCAGACGTCGCTCTTCGGTCCGGAGATGCAGACGCTGATGACGAGGCTGGACAGCGCGGCTAAGGACTCGGCTAGCCTGGCAAAACACCTAGCTACGAGACGCGAGGCCCGCCCACCAGCGCGGAGCCGAGACAGAGGCAGGGAGCGCTCGCCTGGCAAGCGCCCCGGACCATATCCACGCTCCGTGGTCCATCGTTCCCCAGCGGCGAGACCCCCGGGCCCAGACAGGCACACGGGAGGTTCGCGGGACCAACACACCCATCGACGGCCTCCCTACGGTAGAGGAGGTCGGGGTGGTAAAAACTCTTTCAATAAAGGCCGTCCGGCATTTCACCAGTACTCGCTGTCTGAGTCTCATTTGGGGGTATGTAACATGTCAAATGATTTGAATTCTGTTTGTGTTACTTCTCGAGCATATAACGTGGCTCCGCCAGGCCTGCAGCCCCCAGAGAAGGGCGTGCAGCGCGCTGTGCAGACCACGAGCTCCGATTCACGGGTTCATGTTTTGCCCTCCCGGAGAGAGGGCAGGCGGAGGGATCTGATAAGTGCTAATGTGTGTGCTCCGGGCGCTAGCGTGTTAGCATCTCTGAGCTACAAGGCTAACACGGGGTTTCCCAATCCAGGGGCTCTCCCCCCCCTCCATGAGGCAAGAGCCAAGGGGGGGCGCAGCAGCCGTGTCACGCGTGATGAGCAGAGCTACATTGCTAACACGGGGTTTCCTAATCCAGGGGCTCTTCCCCCCCTCCATGAGGCAAGAGCCAAGGGGGGGCGCAGCAGCCGTGTCACGCGTGATGAGCAGAGCTACAATGCTAACACGGGGTTTCCCGATGCAGGGGCTCGCCCCCCCCTCCATGAGGCAAGAGCCAGGGGGGGGCGCAG